CCAGAACGCTCCGCCAGGTGGTTGGGCCGCGGAGGCTGCTGCATGCGATGGGCCGATAATACCCCACAGCGCTGTAAACAGGACACTCCACCCTCCCGCAGCCACCCAGCCAGTGCCCCGGCAGCCTGCTGCTTTGTCATGGCCTGTCATGATATGGGCGTCTCTTCTCAGATAGGAGAGCCGATTGTCTTATTTTCCTCCCCATTTCCCAAATCTGAGAAGGGGTTACTTTCCAGAAACCAAACCAGTTCATCTTCTGACCACAAGCAACCGTTGTCACTTTTCAGCGCTTTTCCTTTAACCAGCATCACAGAGTTGCAGAGCAAATCCCACTCCCTAGGTCCTTCTGATATGCCCACGAGGGATAAGCCCGTGAGATCTCTTAGGGGATGTTCCTCACGGAGGTGGGTCGCAGTGGGCAGCACACCTTGAGTGCTGACCCGCAGCTGCTGATGCCCACGTGGTCAGGCAGCTGTATTTCCGCCCTGCACCGTTTATTCAGGGTGGTGTCCGTGCTGCGTTGGGCTTCCTAGTGGAGGGAAGGGCCGTGGCACTGCAGACGTGAACCTTCCCAGGGAGAGTGGTGGCCAGAACTCCCTCTGCTGTCTCGTCTGGGTAGCCTCCTCTCTCTAGACCCCCCCACCCCCACCTTCCATCCTAACGGACCGTGGAATGGGGAGGGATTAAGAGATCATTGGTTTGACCTAATCTAGCGAATAAAGACTTTCAAGTGCACTTGTATCTCACCTGTTTTTTTACAGCGTCCCTCAGAGGGATTGAGGCAGGTCGTGCTCCTGCTGGGCAGATGGGAGAACAGGCTCAGGAAGCCGCCTGGTGTTGGCTACAGTCACACCACAGTGAGGGCCAAGCTGCAGTCAGACTAGATCCCTCCGATCTGAGCCCCCACACATTCGGGGGTACGTGTGGGGGGAACACTGCTTCAGCCTGTGGCCTCTTCCAGGATGGACCAAAACGTGACTGATTTTGGCTTTAGTTGGTGTTGCATTTGGGGGGAACGTGACACCTTGGTTTAGCCCTTAATCAGTTTTGGTGCCCTCATTAGCAGGTGTTCCCCAGACCATTGGAATGAGGTTTTTGAAACAAAAATAAAAATAAATCTAATTTTTAAATGCCCCCTCCCCCCCTTATATGTTGGACATGAAGGAAGCATGGCATTTTATGGACTCTTCCAAGGGGCCATGACATGCCAAGGATTTGGGGGTTTGGGAGGGAGGAGATCCTTGCTGAGGGCTCTGAGACAGAAGGTAACGCAGTCATTTTGTGGCTTCCCAGGAGCGGTGCCAACACATTGCACTAGGATGTGGTCACTACAGAAATAGGGTGAGGCCCAGCTGTCTCATTTCAGGAAAAGAAACTGAGGCAAGTCCTTAGTTTGACTGAGCTGTGGTGAGACCCTTGCAGATCTAACAGAGAAGGTGTCCAAGGCTGCTGGGTCTGGATTAGGTGCTTGATTTCCCCCATTCCCTTCACCATCTCTTACCCCCTTCCTGCCTGCCTCCCTCCCCCTTTTTCCCCCCCTCTCTCTTTTGTATGTATGGGGTATGTTTTGTTTTGTTTGTTTGTCTTGTTCCTGGCATATGGAGGAGTAAGTCAGTACCCATGAAGTCCTCAGAGTCTTTGCAAATAGCTTTGGTCAGAGGTGGCCAGAAAGCATGTAGAGTTGACCATAATGAGTGCTGGTTGGAGTCTCATGTCAAATTCCAGGACTCTGAGCCCTCCCTAGCCGAGGGAACACGGGGAGTGAAGGACCACATTTGACTGCTGCCCTTGAGATTGGAGTTCTGCTCTAGCTCATGAATGGTTGGGATATGAAGGGTAATGGAACTGATTTAAGATGGGTGTGGTGTAAATTGTTCCCAGAAGATAGCAGAATGCTTTAACCCACTTTTCAAAGACTTCATACCCCCCCCCCCCAAAGAAGCCCATAAAATGAAAAAGGTCATTGTAGATCTCCAGGACAGGCCTGTTATCTCCTTCCCTGAAAAGTAGCTAACGAGGCAATCCTACCTCCAGGTATCCGGGCAGGAGTTCCAGCAGCCTCAGAGAATGTCCTCATGCAAGAGGGCCTGGAGCCCCAGTGAACTGAGATAGGAGGGAGGAAGCTTAGATCCAGATCTGGGACTGTCTCTGACTTGCAGGGTGAATGAATCCGATCTGAGACTGGGCTTCCCTGTGCGTTGGTTTCCTTGCCAATCTTTCCCTAGCACCTTTGAAAGCTGCTGGGAAAGTAGAAGATTGCATACATTAACAAACTTTGGGGACTATGTAAACACAGTTGAGCAAAGGCAGCAGCTTCTGCCAAGGGGCTGGGAGAGGCGTCTCCGAGATATCGTTCTCCCCATCGCTTCTTTCCCAGCCCTGGAGTCACAGCCCTCTCCCTTCACACAGGGATGACACAGCCATCAGGATTGTGGCGTTCTGGCCTGTATTCCAGGCTCTTGCTCATCTGCTACCCACCTGTTTCTCTGTTTCTTTGCTTCTCTGTCACGTGAAGTTGCTTTTCCAGAGTCCCCACCTCACCACTGGGCTCTTGAAGACATTGTGGAAGGGCCACAGCATTTTGGTGTCTGACTTGGCTGCTGACATAAGTCAGAAGCTCCCAGAAATACCCGCTGGCTGCTTTTTTGATCTTAAGTGCAGAATAGGAGGGTGAGTGAGAGGAAGACGAGTGATTGAAAAAGCTAGCGTAGGAGATGAAGTTGGAGCTTGAATCCAGCATGCCTGTCATTGGCTTCCAGGGTGACAAGCCGCAGGATGGGGAAGAAAGAGGTTGGGCCTTTCTGAGCCTCGGAGGAAAAGAGACAAGCAGCTCTGGTGGCTTGACTCCTGGGGGGTGGGTTGAGCATGGATGTGCAGGCAAACTTAGAATCCGTGGTATAGAGCAAGTTTACCCTTATAGTAAGAGTTTATTTTATGCAACTACTTAGGCACCTGCCAATCACCAGTCCTATGCTCTAGGCACTGGAAGGGGTACAAAGGTAAATTAGGGACAGTCTTCTATATTGGACAGTCTTGTTTATTCTTATTGGCCATAGGTTGTTTATTATTTAGAAGTTACACATACCCATGATCCAAAAGAGAAGGTGATAAGTACTAGAGGGTACAAAGTGCTGAAGGAAATCAGAAAATCCTGCGAGAGTCCTTCCAGAGATTCCTTCTAGGGATCCAGAAGGTTCTTGGAGGTGGAGGTAGGCCTTGGTGAACCGAGGAGATTTCAACCTTGGAGATTTCAACCTTGGACACATGTGCAAACCTTAGAGGAGGGAAGGCCCGGGACCTGGGTGGGCAACTGTGTAGTGTGCTTTGTGGAGGACAGAGACTTTGAAAAGGAGTGAAATGTAAGGACAGGTAAGTGGAACCAAAACATGAGGCCTTTGATTACCATCTTGAAAAGAGGGTCTTGGAAGAGTTTTAACAGAAACAATAAGATCGTTTAACGGAATGTGTTGTAACATGTTTAAATCAGTGTATATTGATTTGGAACAGTGCTTATGATGTAAGGCAAAAGCACATTGCAAAATATGTACAGTATGATTTCTTTTTTTGTTGTTGCTAATCCTCACCCGAGGACATTTTTTTCCATTGACTTTTTTAGAGAGAATGGAAGGGAAGGGGAGAGACAGAGAAAGAGAAACATCAATGTGCGAGAGATATATTGATTGGTTGCTTCTTGCACACACCCTGACCAGGTCTGGGGAACCTGCAACCAAAGTACGTGCCCTTGACCAGAATCAAACCCAGGACCCTTCAGTCTGCAGGCCAACGCTCTATCCACTGAGCCAAACCGGCTAGGGCTGTTAGTGTCTTTTTTTTTTTTTTTTTAATATAAAGCTCTTCAAGTTTATTGATACCTACAATCCCCAGTTCCTTTTGCATGGTGCTTAATGCACAGATGAATTATTAAGGGATTAATACAGGTGTGAAAGCATTTTGCTCTGTTTAAAGGAAAGAACCTTTCAGATCTTAATTAGTAGCATTTTGAAAGTGGCCATGGAAAACATGGTCCACCCAGATGATTGAGATTTACAGATGTTTCTGGAACCCTTACATTTATCAACAGTCTCAACCTTACTTTCTTCCAGAAAGTTGTAACCCAGGTAAAATTAAAGTGAATGCACTTACGATGCTTTATTCTCGTCCCATTTAGCCAGAAATCTGAGACAGAGGAGGGAACCAAAAGATGTGGATATTTCCCTAAGCTGACTCCTCAGGCTCTATAGTTGAAAGTCAATATTATATCATTTTCTTTGTCTCAGGCATCTAGGTTCCCTGGGGCTGACCAATCCTGAAGGAAGAATAAAGAGACCTTCAACCCGGCTAGTGTAGCTGGCTCAGTGGTTGAGTGTCAACCCATGAACCAGGAGGTCACTGTTCTATTCCTGGTCAGGACACATTCCGGGGTTGCAGGCTCAATCCCTAGTAGATGATTCTCATTACTGATGTTTCTATCTCTCTCCCCCTCTCCCTTTCTCTCTCTGAAATGAATAAAAACTTATATTTTAAAAAAAGAGAGAGGGAGTCCTTCAGTTGGATTTGTGTAGTGCTTAGGAGCTTTCCAGTGAGTGCTGAAGGGAAAGAGAAGAGCAGGAGATAAAAGATGGAAGAAAAATTGGTTTTTGTCTACTTAGAGTTCCCTTTCTAATGATGGGAAGCAGTCCTGCTCTCAGGAAACTCAGTATGGAGGTCTTAGCCTTCACAGTTCACAGCCCATTAGGAACAGGAAAAAGATGGGGGTCATGTATATACCGTTATCCCAGTCCAAAGTAAAATGTGCAAATTGTTTCCATTGAGAGCAGCCAGCTGATTCATGGGGGAGCTCTCTGTGTGTGCTTTTATGGGCAGCTTCACATTCCCTTAGGAGGGGGTGGACACAGGTGAGGAGGTGGCAGTCGGGTAAGGCTTCAGAGAAGAGAGAAGGTTGGTTTCCGTGCCTCTTTCCACCATGCTGACGTCCAGGGGCATGCTGTGCTCTCTTCCAGCCAGCGTCCCGTGTGCAGTGGCCCCAGAAAAGCCCGTGTGTAGGCCTCAGCCACCTCAAGTCCGACGCACATTCTCCCTGGACACCATCCTCAGCTCGTACCTCCTGGGCCAGTGGCCACGAGATGCCGATGGGGCCTTCACCTGCTGTTCCAATGACAAGGCCACCCAGGTAACGCTCTCTCCTAACCAGAAAAGGAAGAAGGATGGGGCAGGGGCTGACTGAGAAGGCCTTTGGTCTACCTACCAACTCTCAGTCCTTGAAATTATTTGTCTTGGGTTTCGGCTGTACATATTCACCATGCAGCTTTTCGTCATCTCTGGGTTTTACCAGCTGGGTTTTCTTTGTAAACTGGCGTAAAAATGAGCTTGTATTCCACCTGACTGATGGGAGAGAAGTCAATCTGGGTGTTTCAGTTTGGTTTTAGTATTGATGTGTGGACAAGCAAGAGGTGGTTTTGGAATTTATTCTAGGTTTTAAAAAAACAAGACTTACCTTGCTAAAATTAAACTGGGGCCAACATTCAATTGAGTTTGCACTCCCCAGACAACTGGCAGGGGTGGCCAAAAAGGGTGTTGAGCCAGGAGAGATCTCACTGGAGCAACAGGAGTAGAAGGCTCTCAGATAATGGAGAGCTGATCCCTAGCCAGCGGCTCAGTCTGGGATTTCAATGGACTCATTGGAGTTCTGTGGAGCCCAGGTCCCTTTCCTTCACTAAGAATCGTAAACTTAGAAGGAATCGCCGCAGCTCATCCAGCCCATGTGTCAGGTTTTGAATAAGATAGTGTTAGCCTGAGCAAGAAGTCATCCCTGAACTTATACAAAGATATTTCTCCATCTGATTCAAGACTTCAGCAATCTTAGCAGTTCTCAGGGGGGAAGGGGTGTCTGTATGGGGGGTACTGGAAGAGACTGGACAAAAACCATACACCTACAGATGAGGATAGTGGGGGGAGGTAAGGGCACAGGGTTGGGTGGACAAAAAGGAGAAACAATTGTAATAATCTGAACAATAATGATTTATTATTTTTTAAAAAAAATCTTAGCAGTCATGTTGTTAAAAGTGAGATATTTTCCCTTTTGATGTAGCTTAAATCTATTCCTATTCAACTTCAGAACAAATGAGTTGTCCTCAGGAAGGAAGATACAGGCTCAGAGGCAAAGCAGCATCCTGGGGATACTGGGCAAGTCAGCTCTTCCTTTGCAGCTTGCGGTGGTGGGGAGAGGGGGGAGGGCAGAGGGCGGGGGTGCCCGCTCTGCCTGCCTGGAGATGGGGTAGGTGATGGCCAAATGTGAAAGTGTTTCATGTGCTCACTTTACCCTCCCTCCTTTCTGAGCACATCACGTCAGTCCCTTTCTTTTATTTATTTATTTTTTTTAACAAGGTCCATTTTCCAATGTTATTGGTGAGAGTCTGAATGCCCAGCACTGTTCTTGGCATGTTGAAGTGAAGAAGAAGGAAATGAGAACAAGATTTGGCCTCTGTGAGTCTGGGTGCCAGGCCCATGAAGGCCAGGGAATAAACAGCCAAGGGATGCGTGGGGCCAAGTGTCTGGCACATGTCAGAGGAGGGGGAATTCTCGTGGGAATACCCTACCGCGACCCTACAAGCATTTACTGCCATTGAAGTCGGCGGCGCTCTTTAGATCTGTGAACAGAAAGTGAAGGGAGAACACGCTCCAGGTGGCAGACAGAGCAGACAGAGCAGGTCTACCTCCTGGGAGCCCTGGGAACTACCCTGTACCCTTAGAAAAGGGCAAGTAGGATGGGCTGTGCTTCCACGTCACCGACCTGGAGCAACACCCCTTTCTCTTCGGAGAGCAGTGTGTAACCCAAATGATGTAAGTAGTCAAGGAGGGCTTCTTGGAGGAGCGTACTTGAGGTTACTCCACGTGTTTAAGCTCATGATTGCATCCCTCGTTGTCCGACGGCAGGCTGCCACATAGCCTGTCTCTATCGTTTCCTGCTGCCGCCTTCTAGGAACCTTCCATCCCACTCCTCACACAGCGTTCTCTCTGTCAGCTCCAGGCAGGGCTGGACTCAGATGTTCCCCCGCCGGATTTAGAGGCATGGACCGTGCTGCTGCTCAGGCTCCAACTGCAGGCCAGCTCTTTTATATAACAAGTCTGGGCTTCCTGCCACAGCAAGACAGAGGTCAGCGATGCGCCTCCATGGGTCTGGCAAGGCCGAGCTGTGCAGCTTTCCTCTTTCCCTGGGATGGGCTCCAGCCCTCGAGGAACTCTTAGCAACCTGTCAATATTGTGGCTGCAGTCAGGAGGTGGGAGAGTTCTGATCAACGCAGGCATCCAAACCAAGTATGCGCTCTGCCCATCTGTCATTGCTGGCCTTCTGGGAATTTTCTGCTCCTAGGTTTTGGGCACCATTCAAATCCCTGCTTGAGTCCCTGGCCTGGCACAAGCCACCTTCCACACTGGTCGTACACCATGATGACCTGAGGCTCTCCTGGCATCTCCCTACTGAGCACGGGTGTATCACCCAGAGGGACTGGAGATGAGTTTTATTGGGGAGATACTAGGGTGTAAGGGGAAAGGTAGGGAGGTGGGATCTATCAAAGTCTTTGAAAGCTTTCAAACTGTTAAAAAATGGGAATTAAAAAAAAATTAGTTCCCTATCTTACCCTTTTCTGAGCTTGAGGGGGCTTATTCCCACCCCTACCCCACATCTGCCCTTTCTCTTTCAGCCACTCCAATATAGTATCCACTCTATCTGACTGGCCTTCACTTCTTATTCCCACCCCCACTCCTCCCCGCACCCAGACCCAGCAGCCAGAGTGTGTGTTTGGAGACCACATCAGCCCTGGCATTCCTGGGGTGAAGGCAGGGAATCATTGTGCAACACCCTTTTCTGAACCCCATAGAGCAAGCCGGAGCCCTGCCTGTTCCAGGCAAGTTTCAGGCTGGGCAGCAAGCACAGAACACTTGCCGGGCTATTCAGATAGCCAGTCATGCTGCATCCTCAAGGCTTCCTCCCAGGCAGAGAAGGAGTGAAAAGCTCTCCGTTGTCGAATATAGCAGGTTGGCAACAGCCCCAGGCCCCCCCCCCCCCCCCCCCCCCGGGCTGAGCTGTGTTTGCAGCTCTTAGGCAGGCACAGGTAGTCTCCGGACAATGTAAAGGCTGACATGGTGAGCTGAGTTACCCAGCTGCTTGGGGCAGAGGAAGGAGAAGTGGACAGTCCCCTTTGGAAGTTGTTGGTTCTGAGAGGGAGAGGAGATCTGAATGTGGTGATCGGGGAAGGAGTGCTCTGGAGATGCTGCACGTTCTGAGGCAGAAGGAGCAGTGGGAGAGGGATGACCAAGTTTCCCAGAGACCAGCTTGGTGAGATCAAGGAAGTGCTCAGGTGCAGCGGGAGCTGGACGCAGAGTGGCCAGCCAGCCAGCAGGGAGGAGAAGGGCTTCTGTGCAGTCACCCTCACCTGGAGGACTTGTCAGGATTCTCCAAATCAATCTGAATATGTGCTCCACTCTCCCCCCAACTCAGCTGGTAAACTAGAGCTGACTGCCAAGTGGCCTCTCCCAGCGGCTGGCCCTGGGCCAGGGCGGTGGTGGCACCACATGCCGGTTGCGGTCACCCCTCTCTCTTCTTGCTGTGCAAAGCACTGGAGTCTTCTCGCACCCTTCTGGAGGGAGGAAGTGGTCTCACCACAGCTGGCATGGCTGTTTGAGCAAAATTCCCCTGCTGGTGTTCTCATCCTGGATACCTGCTCTGTCTTCCTCCACCCACCACCCCCTCTTCTGTTCACCTCCAGCCTCACTTGTCCCAGGTCAGGTGGGGAAGCCTCCATAACAGACTTGTTTCTTAGGCCTGATTTACCCTTTAGGAATACGATGGCTTAAGTCCTTGACAAACTTCATGCAGTGTCTTGAAGGCAGGAGGCAGGGGTGGCATCTTTGGGAAGACTTCCCTTTCTGTGACTTGCCCTACCTGTGTCAGGTCTTCCTCCTTTTCCCAAGCCAGTGCCTTAGCATTTAGTGATGACACGCAATTCAGTTTGCCCGTCACGGGCCTGCCTTGGTGGGTATGGACGCCTGGGCACAGCGCCTATTTCCCAAAATGGTGAGCAGGACCAGTTGTTCAGCATATGGTGTGACAACAGCACAGAACGTCGGAAGATGGGTTCATGATGGAAAATGTGAGCGTTGCATAGTCACTGTAGGGCCAGAGATGGTGGCCTTGGCCACCTGCAGCCAGAGTCCTCAGATCTGGCCGGCAGACCCCCCTCGGAGTCTTTCCTGTCTCTGTCTGGCCAGAGTCCCAGGGGGCCAATTCCCTGCTGGGTTTCATTTCAACACGTAATTACTGACCATCTGTACCAAGCCAGGCGCCATGCTGTCCTGGGCCTCCACACAGGTATGCTGGGTTATGTTCCTAGGACCGAGCTGGGCTCTGCCAGCGTCACTGGAGACAACTCAGCTAGACTTTTCCTGCCTCAGAGTCCAGATAAAACTTAGTGCGGCTGGGGACAGAGGAACAGACTGTAGTTGGGAGGGTTTTCCGCTCCATTGGGCCCTGCCTCGTTCTGTCAGGATGCTCTTTGGAAATCTCTCCCCTGTCCCCATGCCCAGTTATCCTTCCACATGGTGCTCTGCGATCCCAGAACCCCAGGCAAGGCTTCCTTGCTCTAAGCCACATTCCGTTTTGCATAATCCGAGCATCATCTGCACAGTTGGCTGATGCCACTCACGGCTGGTAAAGAGCCCTGCTTTTCCTTCAGCTGCTCCCCTGGGCCGGGGTGTTCAAACAGATCTGTTCCAGTGCGTGAGTCCCTTTGCCCAACATGACTTTGGCCTGCTGAGCTCAAGCTCCACCCTGCTTCCAAAGGGCCATCTGAAACGACTGCTTGCAGTGCTGTCACGCAGCACGGCTCGGCTCCTGTTGTGCCATAGAGGGCTGCTCTTTGAAGGGTAGCCTTCAATAGCCGTGACTTCTCTGCTCCAAGGAGACCTCTGTGGTGAGACCCAGAGGAAGAGGGGCTTGTCCACCCAGGGGCACTGAGAATAAGGGGCAGGCCATGGCCCCCACTCTTGATGCTCCCAGTTCAGTCGGAGGCACCAAAGACCACACTTGTGCACATGCCTGCCAAGAGAACTCTCAAGGCCAGCATGTAAACAGCTTCAAACACAGCATAACCTATGTATAGCTGCTGTAACAAATTACTTCAAATTTAGTGACTTAAAACAACAAGAACTTATTCTCTCACGATTCTGGAGGCCAGAAGTCCAAAGTCCATCTCACTGGGCCAAGATCAAGGTGCTGGCAGGGCTACGCCTTCTCTAGAGGCTCTCTGGGAGATCCGTTCCTTGCATCCTCTAGCTTCTGGTGGCTGCCAGCATGTTTTGGCTCGTGGCCACATCATTCCAATTTCTGCCTCCATGTCACACCGTCTTTTCTTCTGTGTGTGCCTAATCTCCCACTGTCTCTCATAAGGACACTTGTAATGGCATTTAAGGCCCACCTGGATAACCCAAGATAATATTTCCACCTTAACTTAATCATATCTGCAAAAACTTGACTACCTAAAGTAACATTGACAGGTCCCAGGGATTGAGACCTGATACTTTGGGGGACCATTTTTCAATCTGTCACATCTATTTTTTTTTCTTTTATTTATTTTTATTTATTTAAAATATATTTTATTGATTTTTTTTACAGAGAGGATGGGAGAGGGATAGGGAGATAGAAACATCAATGATGAGAGAGAATCATTGATTGGTTGCCTCCTGCATGCCCCCTACTCAAGACCAAGCTGGCAACCTGGGCATTTACCCTTGACTGGTATTGAACCTGGGACCCTTCACTCTGCAGGCCGATGCTCTATCCATTAAGCCAACCCAGCTAGGGCCTGTCACATCTATTGACCTCCTCCTGCTGTGCCCCTGGCTCACTCTGCTTCAGCCTCACTGACTTCCTCTTCATCCTCAACACATCAGGCTTGCTCCTGCTTCAGGGCCTTTGCACTTGCTATTCCCTCCGCCTAGATTACTCTTACTGGATCACTCCCTTATCTCCTTCATGTTTTTCTCCAGACATTACCTTTTCATTGAAGACTTCTGGACATATCGATCTCCCCATCACCCCACCCACATCCCAATATCCCCTGCCCCCCTTTTTGGTGCACTTTTCTCTTTAGTACGTGTCATTGTTGAGACTGTGCCCCCAACCAGAACATAAACTCGAGGGGGCGGAGGATTTTTGTGCATCATAGTGTCCCCAGCACCCGGAACGCTGCCTGGCCCAGTTTGCAGTGAGTAGCCATTTGTCGAATGCATGAGTAAGAAAAAGGAGCTGGGGTTGGTCTTCCTGGGCAGAACAGAACCAAATATGGAGAGGAGAGCCCATAGGATGGAGGGTGAGACGGTGATAGCCACGGCCGGGGTGGGGTGTTGAGACCAAGCGATGGCCTGGGTAGCACAGTTTACACAGAGCAGGCAGCAGCTGCTGGAAGACATTGCAGAGCGGAGCGCAGGGAAGTAAAGCAGATTGAGAGAGGAGATGATCCTAGCTGTCATGAATTTTCACATCCTTTCTCAACTCCAGCGCGCGAGCCCACATCTCTCCTTCCACCCCCTCACATGTTGCAGAAGAAAGAAGGCAGTTGAAGAGTTTGCCAGAGATGCTAGTGGAACCGGTGGCAGCCTGGATGTGGCTGTTTCCACCTCTCACCACCCACTGAATGCAGAGTCTTCCTGGAGGAGGGGAAGTGGGCTCCTCGCATTCGCTTCTCATCCCTCCTCCATAGCTTCCGCCACCTTCCCAGGGACAACAGGCTGGTGTGAGACTCAGCACTTGGATTAGCAGAGCCAGGCACCTATGGGGTTGTCTTTGGAGCCCCGGATGGAGGAGAGTTTGTGCACCCGCTGAGCCCAGGGGCTGAGGGAGAAGTGGACTTCCTCCTCATGTTTCAATCTATGCAGCAGCCATTTCTGAGGTTCTGTTTGCCAGCTCTGGTTTCGAGAGATGTAGGCATTTGGGAGTAGACAGCTGCTTGCTTTCCCTCGACTGTCAGCCAGCTTCACCTCTAGGGCTTTGGGGTCTGGGCCAGAAGGATGTGCTGCCTGCCTTTTCCTGAAGGAGGGGACTGGGGGGCTGGATCTGAGAGCTTCCCCGCAGGGCCAGCCTCAGGGAAGGGAAGTAGGCAGTGGCCTCACCCTGGCTGTTGTTTCAGCCCAGCCAGAGTTCTGATGGGTGGGCAGCTGGGAGAAGGTAGAACCCAGGAGCCCCTGCCTGGGGCCCCTCCCCGGCAGCTGTCACAGGGCAGGCTGCTCCCACAGCCCTGCTCAGACTGTCCCTGCTGAGCTCTTCTTAGCAGCTGTTGGGTGTTGAGTTGTTGGGTTTCTCTCTCTTTTCCTCCCCCTTCTGTTTGCTGCAACCTCTCCAGGGAGGTCAGCAGATCTGTTGTAGGAGACGGTTCCCAGGCCCTCATGGTTTTGGCAGCTCATGCAAAGAACTTAGAGAGGAACTGGTTCCACTGGCGCATTCCCCCTTGGGCCCCTCCCTTGGAATGGAAATAGGGATGTTGGTGGTGGGGAGGGATCTTATCCTCCTGCCGAGTGCTAAGAGCCAACAGCTTCCTCCCTCGGCTTGGGGCTCAGGAAGTGGGTCTACACACTCCCCCTGCCTCCAACTTGGGCCAACTCTGTCTTTGCAGCAGAGGAGGGAGCCAGCAGACTGACAGCCCTGTTCTCACGAGGAGCACGCAGGGCCCAGGAGAAGGAGCTGTGACAAAGCCAAGAGCGGTCAGGAGTCAGGGCTGAATTCAGAATTCTGGCTCCCTCCTTCCTGAAAATGCCCCGTCCCTGGGTATTCAGGAGGGCTTCCAGCACTTGCTGTGTGCAGGGGACACTCACGGCACAAGCCCGAGGCACCGCGCCGCACAGACGTTACCTGCTTCTGTCAGGGAGAGGGGTCTCTGTTGACCTTTTTTCTGCCTTTCCAATTAATGCTTCCTGTCTAATAACTTGCTTTCAATAGGTTCCCAGGGACCGGGGCCTGTGCTGGGCACACAGAGGGTACGAGAAGAGAGGATGCCAGCGGGTCTCTGAGCCCCTGCTCTTTGGGGCTGGTACGGACGGCGGGGCAATGCTTGAGCTCACTGTTGGGGGCACCGGGAGTTGGGCCTGTCAGCCATGGATAAAAGTCGTAGAGAAGAGACAGCAGGCCGGTCTTGCTGGCTCTTCAAGAGGAAGGTGATGGGGAAAGAGAGAGTCTCTTGCCGAAACCGGTTTGGCTCAGTGGACAGAGCGTCGGTCTGCGGACTGAAAGGTCCCAGGTTCGATTCCGGTCAAGGGCATGTACAGAGAGTCTCAGGGAGAAGCCTGGAAGAATAACAGGCTGACAGCGCTGAGGTGGTGGAGCAGATGAGAGAGCTGAGGCCACTGCCTCTGTCCAGGAGACTGTGTCTGCTTCCCCTGAGCCCACCTGAGAAGCTGCTCCATTTCTTCCTGCAGACTCCCCTGTCCTGGCAAGAACCTGAAGGAGAGCGGAGCAGCTCCTGCACGCACAAGCGCTCAGCGTCCTGGGGCAGCACAGACCACCGCAAAGAGGTAACTGTCCCCTCTGACTTCCCGGCCGGAGTAGCTGCCGCTTGTCCGCCCCCAGCACCGTGGGTGCACCTGCTCCAAGGCGGACTCTCACTTCCTGTCTCACTTGCCTTCATGTGGCCTTTTCCTCATGAGATGACATCTTTGCAGCTGCCTCCCAGCCGCCTGGTGGCCAGGCCTCTGGAGCCAGGACCCTCCTGCCAGCAGGGGCTTGGCCAGTGGCTGCTGTGCCCTTCGGCAGCCGGGCACAGGGTGGGAGCCACCATTGTTCTCTCTGTGCTTTGAGGTTGGATCCAGATAAGCGGTTCAGAGGCTGGAGGAAGATAGGGAGTGCCTTCCTGAAAAGCCCCAACGCCATGTAGTACTTACTATTCATCCAGCCTTAGTTTAAAAAAAGAAAAAAGTAGTTATTGTTTCCAAGCATTTTTCCTGGCCTCCCTTTCTCTCAGGAGGATTCCAGTCATCGAGGCTGACTAGAGAAAGCCATAGACTGCAATCCCAGGGCTCCCAACCCAGTTGTGTCCGCCACGCCGTGGGGCCGCCCCTAAATGGCCCAGCTTGCCAGGGTCACCCTTGACTCTGGTGGCGGAGTCACTTCTGCTTTCTTGATTGCAAAAACAGAAAAAATATGAAGTGTTTAAGGCTAGTGGAAAATGCAAAGTATTTAATGTTTATAATTATCAGAGTAAGCAAGTTATTTACACTAAGCATGGAGCCATGGTTGAATGATCCCCAATAGCAAATCTGAAAGCATTTTCTTTTTGGCAGCAGTCATCCTGCATGGCTGTGGGCAGCACATCTACCCTCTGAATTCCATTTAATCTAGGCCCGTATTTAAATAGCTCGGTTTCTGAGCATTTGCCAGCTGAGGCCAGTAGGTATAGAATCCCAAATGTGACGGGGGTAATAGTCAGAATTGTTGATGATGATCCATAATTGTTACAGGAAATGGAAGGCGGGAGAAAATCTGATATTCCCTCTGGAGAGCTTGCGCCTCGCTCAGTGCAGTCTGCTCCAAAGTTGGGGGAAATCCTTCCATCCTTCCTGATCCTGGGGCCTTTGAGATAGCTGTGAATGTACTTTGGGGAGTGAATTAAAAAACATCATTTCCCATTTCTATTATTAGAGCAGTATTCCATGCCTTCGGAATCTGTGAAAGACAAAAAACAGTTTGAGTGTTGTGTACTTTTAAATTTTTTGGAAACTGATCCATCTATGCAACACATAGTAATTAAAAATATCAAATAATCCAGTTGACAAGGTTCCCAGCTTGCCAATAACCCATCATCAGAGTTTTGAACACCATAGAGGTGGTTCAAGATGGAAGATGAACTGCCATCTCCCTTTTAGGCATTTTCATGGGCCTATGGCGGGAGCCACCGCTGGGGATGGGACCCAGTACACTTCTGTTTTGCCTCACCTGCCTTCCCTCCCCCTCTCTTCGGGCCCCCAGATTACCAAGTTGAAGCAACAGCTGCAGAGGACAAAGCTGAGCCGCAGTGGGAAAGAGAAGGAACGGGGCTCCCCACTCCAAGGAGACCATGCTGTGCGGGGAACACTGAGGGTTTGTCACCCCCCACACATATACACACTCTTTCCTCTTTGTTGTCCTCCATGCATACTCCCCCCACCATGTGGGCAGAACCTCTCAGGTTGAGCAGCCCCTGAGCCCTACCACACCACATGTCCTGTGGTCCCCATGGGGGCCCAGGTAAAGCTTTAGCGCAAACTTGGACTTGGTGAATGACATTGGAAGAGCTTCCTACTGGTCTGAATTTCTCTCCCCTCCACGCTCATCCCCATACAACTGAGGCCATGATGCTCCTGCAGCCGTTAAAAGCGTACCCCAGACCTCTCAGAGCGCTAACTTCTGGAGAAAATCCCACTGACTGGACCTACCTCGACAAGTAACTGTGCCCAGATCCTCCTTTGCTCACTGGGTTTTGCTGTGTAGACATGACCATTACCCCCCGCCAGAGCTGATAACTATTGGGCTTGGTGGGTTTCAGTGAGTGCTCCCTGTGCTTCCTCCTCAGGCGTCCCCTCCCAGCTTCCCCTCAGGGTCCCCCGTCCTTCGACTCAGTCCCTGCCTGCACAGGAGCCTGGAGGGGCTCAACCAGGAGCTGGAGGAGGTGTTTGTGAAGGAGCAGGGGGAAGAGGAGCTGCTGCGGGTGAGTGAGGCTGCATCCCGGATGCACTGACAGGTGGCGGCTTGCTGAGTCTGGACGCCGGGGCTGGGACTCTTGCTCTTCGGGGCTCACAGGCTGTGGCCGCACAGCAGAGTAACATGCAGACACCAGCCTGCGGAAGGAACACGAATTGAGTTGATCAGACTCAAATGGACTTAACCACAGGCCAGCAGAGCTGCTTGGGTGTAACTGGGGAAGGCTTTGTGGTGGCAGGCCGACAGAGGAGGAGCAGGAGCTGGCAGAGAGGAAGGTCCCAGCGGGAGGAGTGAGCGAGACGTTGTTCTCCAGCCAAGCACCAGCTCACTTCCCGCATACTTGGCACCGCTGCTGTCACCCCTGTGCTCAGTGAGAGCCACCCATTGCCTGCGTTACCACTTCCCTCCCCCTGTCTCTACCTGATGACAGATACTCATCCTTCCTGCCCAGTGCCCCCGTGTGGCCTTCTTCCCACCCCACTCCCAGGCAGAATTATTTGCTACCTTTCCTGAAGTCTCAGGCACATTTTTAGACTGACACAGTACAATTGGGGAATGCCAGTTGGGCAGTATCAATATAATTGTAGTGGGCACACTCCTCAGTTTACAATTTACTTGTTGCTTGATTTTAAGTTACTCGCTTGTTGATTTTAAGTTGGCATCTATGTAGAATTTTATACCCACCAAATACGCACAATTTGGTAAGCTGTGGGTACAAAGTGCCACTGAATGTGAAAGGGGACAGGGAGGTTTAGTGCGTGATGATGTTTTGCATATTTGTCATGTAGTGGCCCACAGCGGTTATGGTGTCCTGGTGGCTGGCACATAGAAGGTCCCTGCCCTCATGAGGCTTACAGCCTGATAGGGGTGACACATTGAGAAAATATTCAGATCAATAGACACTTATAACTGGGCTGCAAGTGCCACCAGGGAAAAGAACGAAATGCTGGGGGAGAAATAGCAGGGGTTTTCCCTTAGATGGGGCTGTGGGAGTCGGGAAATCGGTGACTTGAGGAAATGGCGTCCTGCTTTTGCTGTGTGTTACGAATAGAGGATGGAAACAAGGGCAAAGGGAGAACCCCAAGGGTCCCCCAGCTCTGTAGTCCTAAAGAGTCATCACCCACCCTTTCCCTGGCAGATCCTCGATATTCCTGATGGGCACCGCGCCCCAGCTCCCCCGCAGAGTGGCAGCTGTGACCTCCCCCTCTTGCTCCTGGAGCCTGGCATCCTCTCCAGCTCTCCTTCCATGCCCCTGGCATCCCCCCAGCCTTCTGGCCAGACCGGCCGTGAGGAACATCGGGGTGCTGTCGAGGAGCTGGCATCCATCCCCAATGACAAAGGTAAGCAGTATATCTTTGTAAGTCATCTTTATTCCATACACTATACTAGTCACAACAATGGTTCTTGATATTGATTCTGATTTGTAATTTACATAAAGTCCCTGCACCTATACTTTTACTTAATCCTCACTGGAATCCAAAGAAGCACTCCTTCCATTCCCATATTTGGCTTGAAAGCCCTCAAGTCTGTTCAGGTGCCCACTGTACTCATTACCAGCAGCAAGTCTCAAGGAGGTTGTAAATGCCCTGGTTTGACCCAGATGGAAACCCAAACTCTTCTGACTCCAAATCTCTACTTTCTGCTGTGCCCTGACCGCATCACGAACAGGACAAGATACCAGTCCTTCCTCCTGATAGCAATGATCCTTACTTTATAAAGCACCATTGCCTGCATCGCCTCATTTGATTCCCACAGCAACCCCATGAGGTAGGCTGGCCAAGGGCAAGACCTAACAACACACAGAGGTAAACAGAGTACAGAGTAATAAGGAATAAATGTGAGATAAATACAGATAAAGTCAATATTTGCAAACTAGGCAAAGTACATTCGCTGTGTGAAAAGCAGGAGGAATTTTATCCCACGAGTGGGGTTGAGTAAAGATTGCTTCTCTGAGTCAGTACAAGAGCTCTTCCTGGAAGAAGGGATATATTTTTAAGGCCGTGGAGAGGAAGAAGCCATGGTCTGTTGGCAGGCAGGGCAGTGCAGTCTTGGAAGAAGGAAGAGAGACAGAAATTAGGATTTCTTTAAGTCTGAGGCTTGGCGTCCCAATCATGGTTCATCTCCTGGAATATACAGTTGGTATTTAGACCTGACTTTTCTGTCAATTCAACTGCATTGTTTTTATCCTGTGTAACAAGATACATATTTTTGTAAGCTGCCGCAAAGATCTTTTAAGGTAGAGTATAGAAAGACAGCCTGGATTACCATGACCTTTGCCACCTCCTCACTGTGTCTTCAGCCCCTTCCCACCAGGGCCTGGGCGGAGGGCGGTGGAGATCTTTCCTTCAGCTCCACCAGACTCGGCCTTGCTCTGTTTGCAGCCTCCCCTCCAGGCCACCCGGCCTTCCTTGAAGACGGCAGCTCATCTCCAGTCCTCGCGTTTGCCTCCTCCCCTCGGCCCAATCACAGCTACGTCTTCAAACGGGAGCCTCCGGAAGGCTGTGAGAGAGTGCGTGTGTTTGAAGAGGCCACGTGAGTACATGAACAGGAGGGGCAGGGATGGGGACCTAGCCCTGTGCTGTCCCACCGGATAGGACAGCCCTGCTTCCATCTTGGACTCTTTCTCCTCCTAGAGGTGCTGTCAACTTTAGATTATTGTACTGCAGATTTTCCATGATCAAACTTGTTGACATTACCTACTCTGAGCACCAAATTTTTGCTTATCATTATCTCCATAGAAACCTCCTCTCTGCCCACATGCCAGCCACAAGCACAGCGGGAGCTGGAAAGGAAAGAGCTCTGAAACTAAACCCTTTGTTTCTGCTATTTTTTCCCATCCCTGGGGAAGGTGTGAGAATTTGCTAGACCATAATCAGAGAGAGAGGGGATATATTAGTAGTTCTCTTCAGGCAGAGATGAGAAGTGTCTCCTCCCTACTGAAGCATTCTAGGTGCTTCTGAGTCAAGTCTTCACCCTGCAGGTTCAAGTGTCAAGAATGTTCAGACAGAAATTTCTCGTCTTTGCAAGTAAGGACTGTGGAATATTCCCAAACCTGATTGGACAATCAGAAGCCATTCTCCCATTAGCGGAGATAATTGAGAGCTGACCCTTCCACATGCCCACACAGCCAACCCCCTGTGATAGGCACCCTAAGAACTCATTTCACAACCTCCACTCCCCCACCAGTTTTAATATTCATCAAGGCAGATTCACCATGGCCATTGTGGTGTTCATGGCAGTCAGGAAGTTTGGTCACGGTGTATGAGTGGACATTTAGCTGGGACAGGGTTTGTGGCCTTGAGGACTCCATTTGCATCTCGGGTAAGGGAGAGGCCGGCCCAGGGTAGCAGCAGGGGGTACATATATAACCCAGAGCAGGAGGTAAGGAGAAAACCATAGCCAACTGGGGTGTTTCTCGCATCACTGTTGCCTGGTTTCTCTCCAGAATGCTGAATCCTCTGTGTGAATTTAAGGGAAGCGGCCAGATTGTGTAGCAGACTCTGGACTTAGAAGACTGGTTGTTGCTCAATACCCTTTCTATTTTTTGGTCAAGTTACCATCCTGTTTTAACAGAGACCCAGCTTCTCTGTTCCCTGGATGCTGGTGGTTTCTTTTTTGCTCTGAATGTGCATGTGTGTATGCATATATGTGTGCATGTGTGTGTGTGTGTACACATGTGTATATCTGTGTGTTTCTTTCTCCATCCTCCAGGTCTCCAGGTCCTGATGTGGCCTTCCTGACTTCCTGTCCCGACAAGAACAAAGTCCATTTCAACCCGACCGGCTCGGCCTTCTGCCCTGTCAGCCTGATGAAGCCCCTCTTCCCCAGCATGGGCTTCATTTTCCGAAACTGCCCCTCCAGCCCAGGGTCCCCTCTCCCTCCTGCCAGCCCCAGGCCCCCGCCTCGGAAGGATCCAGAGGCCTCCAAGGCCTCCTCGCTGCCATTTGAGCCATGGCAGCACACCCCGCCATCAGAAGAGCCCGTGCTTTTCCACAGCTCCCTGGTGGTCTGAGGGCCCCCCGACCCGTACCCCCTTTACCATGGAGACCAGTGCCTTGGTGGCAGGCCCCTCCCTAGCTCCCCTGAGGTGGGGGATAAAGGAGCCCTTCCCTCTCGGCCTTCGAGCACTTTCATTTATTGTGTCAAAGCCCCGGGTCCTCTTTCTGGTGGACGCTGTCCCTCCTAGGGGGAAGGGACCTGCCTTCTCCACTAGCAGCCGGGCAGCTCGCAGATCATACTTGTGTTCTTGCCACCTCTCTTACTCGGTGGAAAACTCACCCAGAGGGTCTGGGCCCCCTGCCCTTGGGTGTGAGTCCAAAGGACTGTATTTGGGACCCTTGTCCTTGTCATGGAGCAAGCTGGCCATGAACAGGGTAGAGGGGACACCACAGATTTCCTCCCCTCTCCTCCATAGACATAGAAGAGGAGACGGGAAGAGATAAATACCCACTTCTCAGCCTCCATCCCATGCCTCCCTCTCATTGGAAGAGCTGACCAAAGCAGCCCTCACGGGCCATAACACTTGACCAATCCAGCTGCTGGCAGAGAGGGGACCTTAGTGTTTTCCCAAGTGGCATTTTCATCTCACTCTCATCCTGACTAAGATTGTCTTAAGCAGCAGCTCAACCTGCCCAGCCCCAGATGGGGAGGGGGAGGAAGGAAGAGCTGGCATGCCTCCAGGTGGTAGATAGGAACTTTATACCCTCCACCTGCCCCAGGACTGGGTTGGATTAGAAAAATGCCTATTTTTCTTGTATCGATGTAGAAACTCTATTTTCTCCCAAAGACACTATTTTTGCAGCTGTTTGAAGTTTGTATATTTTCCGTACTGCAGAGCTTCACAAAATTGAAGAAGAATGTTAATGTTCAAGTTTTCTTATCCTGTGTTTAGAAGTTGTTTTTGTTTTTTTGTTTTTTGCAGATCTTGGTGTTAATAGACCAAATAAATAAATATTCCCAGCAGTTTGAGGTTCTGTTCATTATGGGGCTGAGGGAAAAGAGAGATGGAAATTGAGGGTATTATGTTGATTGCTTCATCCTTGTCTTTTTTTTTAAATATATATATATATATATTATTGATTTTTTACAGAGAGGAAGAGAGAAGGATAGAGAGTTAGAAACATCGATGAGAGAGAATCATCCATCAGCTGCCTCTTGCACACCCCCTACTGGGGATGTGCCCGCAACCAAGGTACATGCCCTTGACCGGAATCGAACCTGGGACCCTCCAGTCTGCAGGCCGACGCTCTATCCACTGAGCCAAAACGGTTTCGGCTCATCCTTGTCTTTAAGAGGAGCCTTAACACATAATGATGTCAATAGAGTCCTTGTCCTCAAGCCACCAGGCTTGGTTCTTTACATGGATGAATAGACAGTGGACCCATGGAAAGGTGTTCCAGAATGAAGAGTGTGGTGGAGGTTTGGTGAAGGAGTCATCCTTTTCTTGAATGAGTCTGGAAAGCTACCTTGGGAGGGTGAGTTTCAGAGAAGAAGACAATCTGACGTTGTGGGTGCTCCTTGACTAGAAGAAGAAATTTCTTATCCTTCTGCTGCCTCAGCTATTAATAGTGCCACACATGTAAGAGCTCTTAGGCTTTTTGGAGAAATGGAAGCAACCATCCCAACATTCTGATGGTGCTTTGCAATTTACAAAACATTTTCACAAATGACAGTAATCCCGAATGTATGGATGAAAAGTTGACTACTCCAAGGGCAGTTATAATAGCTACAATTCTATCTATCTGTAACCTTACGACAAACTCCTATCCCAATTTGGTAAACATCAGATAATGCTTGCATAAAATATCATTTAAATATTAAAACAACTCAATGAGAGAAATGTGATAAATCCCACTGTGCTCCTGAGGGAAGGACAGAAAGACTGAATACGTTTACCCCAAAGACGAAGAAGGAGACTGTGGGATTGGGAACCAGATCATTTGAATCCAGTGCCCATGCTTCTAACCACAGCACTGTCCCGCTTGTTATTCCATCCTCATTTATTTTAGGCGAGGAAAGGATTCGGTGGGCAAGGGAATTGTTTGAAATCCAGCTGGTGAAGAGGCAGAGATGGGAACTGGAGCCCAGGTCTCTCCAGGCTGCTACTTGGTGCCCTGTGCAAGGGCTAATGTATGGAGGTCTCTCCTCCCCCCAGTAATATGAAAGAAAGAAAGGATTGAGGACAGACCCCATCTTCTCTCTCTTACCCCTCCCCCTTTTATTTGGCCTATTCCCTAAAGCCTGATTAGTCAGCCGGGCCTGGAGTAATGGGTGTGGTGCTGCCCCGAGTTGAGTTTCCTTCCTTTGCCCGAGGCTGTGCCAAAGGAGCAGGCTGCTGAAAGGGGAGAAGGAGGGAGTTGGGGGTGGGGAGTGGAAAGACCTGGGGTCAGTCTTGCCCTGGTTCTTGGTGCCAGCAGGTGGATGCCCCACACTTGGGTAAGGGAGGGGTCCAGCAAGGAGCTCATTAATAGGAGGACAGAGGGAGGATTTGCTCCATTGTTGGTAAGTTGTAAGACCCCAGAGAAAATGTACTTCAACAGCTTCCAACTCCAGGTTGTGAGGAAATAAGATTGGGACTGAGAAAGAGTAATTAATGCTTTCGCACTGCACACTTTACAATTTTTTAAAAATATATTTTATTGATTTTGTACAGAGAGGAAGGGAGAGAGATAGTTAGAAACATCGATGAGAGAGTAATCCATCAGCTGCCTCTTGCACACACCCCACTGCCCACAACCAAGGCACATGCCGTTGACCGGAATCGAACCCGGGTCTCTTCAGTCCCCAAGCCGACGCCAAACCGGTCCAGCCACACTTTACAATTTATAAAACACTTTCACAAACCTCGGCTCATTTGATCTTCACTGCAGTCAAGAGGTGACAGGGTTCTTTTAGTAATTATCCCTAATCTACAGACCGAAAACTGTGGCACGAAATTAGGTGACATACGTAGGTTGCCCTGCCTTTGAGTGAAGGAGAGGGGACAAAAGCCCTGCCGCCCTCCGGTTGCCTAGTGAAGTGCCCTAGGAGGAGGCTCTCTGTCCTAAGCCGGCCTTGAACATTCTTCTGGAGAGTGGGGGTAGACGCTGGGCAGCGGCTAGGGGGCGCTAAAAGCCCCACTAAGCATTTCATGGCGTTAGGACCCAGTAGAAGCCTGACGGCCGGCCAGGAAAAAGACTATTCGATTTGCCCAGCCGCCCGCCCCGCCTTCGCCCCGCCCACCTGTCAGTCTTTACGCGGCACAGCCAGTCGGCGACCTCCACATCCTTCTACATCATCACTCCGCGCCCGCATAACTTGTAGGTCTTCCCGTTGAGCTCGGGTTATAGTTGTCCTCGGAGTTGCCTGATTGGAAAAATCTCGAGGGCAAGCTATTCACCTGGGGCAGCTGCCCCCCTGGCCTCTAGAGACGAAACCAAGATCCCAGGGTGCTTTTGCTTTCCTTGGTAGTGGTTTCTGGGTTCTGAGGAGTTTCCCCCTCGGCAGCCCTGAGCTGGCAGTTGTGGCGGTGGCTATTGAGCCCTGCTGCGCGGGCGGTCGCATGCAGCTCCTATGAGGCCCCTGTCGCCGGTCGGCGATGTCCGGCTGGAGCTGTCGCCGCCGCCGCTGCCGCAGCCGGCTGTGAGCGGGTCTCCAGTGGGGTCTTCTGGGCGTCTCATGGCCTCTAGCAGCTCCCTGGTGCCCGACCGGCTGCGGCTGCCGATCTGCTTCCTCGGCGTCTTTGTCTGCTACTTCTACTATGGGATCCTGCAGGAAAAGATGTGAGTGGGTCCCCGGGTGGGGAAGCAGACATCCCCCGCTATCCTACCCCCCTTCCCGCAACCTGTGGTGGGGTTCGCGGTCCTCACGCCCCTGCCCTGGGTGTTCCCTCCCGCCCTCCCAGCACCCCAACACCTTTGCAGCGCCGCTCAGCCGCCCCAGATTTCCAAAATGCGAAAGTTGGTCTTTGGATTCTGGGGACCTGGTGATTTTTCTTCCCTTGATTCCTTTTCCCCCATTAGTTCTAAGGGCTTGGGGTTTACTGGTTGGGATTTACTTCCATCCCCATCCCCATCTCACCCCCACCCCCATCCCCAACAGGTTTTCGTGACCTGTGCCGGTTCCTCTTTGGAACTCCCAGATGCTGCAGACAGCTGACTCTTTCGCCCTCGGTCTTGCTGCTGTAGCCCAAAGCCCTTCTGCTGCCTGGGGTACTCGTTTCACCATCTCATTTTCTACGTTTCTCCTAACTCCATCCTTTAAGGACATTCTTGTCCTAGGCTACAGGGTTAGCAGACTGGGATGTCTTAATTTCTAAATCCAATAAGGTGGGCCCCTTCTGTAAATGAGCCCAGGGATCCTGAGCAAACTCTCCCCACCTCCAGCGAGGGAGGCAAGATAACGTCAACCTGTGAAGCGCCTCTGGGCATACTAGATGACACTGAAGGAAACAGACTGATTCCTCCCTGTTCTTTTTCCCGTGTGTTTCATTCCTAGAACAAGAGGAAAGTATGGGGAGGGAGCCAAGCAGGAGACGTTCACTTTTGCCTTAACTTTGGTCTTCATCCAATGTGTGATCAATGCCCTGTTTGCCAAAATCTGTGAGTACCCAGATCGCATTCTGGCAGGTGTCCCCTCCCCTTTTTGTATCCGAGACGTTAGGCAGTGATCCAATCTTAAGGTCTAACTCTCAAGATCTCCCACCCCCCTTAGCACTTACATGGCCTTTTTGTTGAGTCTAGAAAAATCATGGCTTTGGAAGGGAGTAAAACCCTGTTTCCCTAAATTAGACCAACGGAGTCAGATGGGCAGAGAATGGGTCCTCTGTATTACAGATGCCCATTGAGAAAACTTAATTTTTCTTTGACCCTTTGGTTTTCCTTTATGTGTCAACATCAAGCATGTTTCGAGCTTTCTCCCTGTTCCCTGAGGCAAACAGCAGACTAACTAGTCCCTTGGACGGAATGATTCAGTGCCCCACCTCTGCCCTGCATGTGGTCTTGTGTTAGGCTTAGGTGGGATTGGAGAGCTGGGTAATCTACAGGTATTTCCCAGCGCAAGAGGACAGAAATAGGGTGTACTTGTTTTATTTGACAGACTAGGGTTTTTTTCTTGTGGCTGCAACTTCTGCTCACTGGTCCATTCCAGGCCCACCGTCTTGCCTGTTTTCTTTTTTTGTCTTCTCCCAGTGATCCAGTTTTTTGACACTGCCAGGGTGGATCGTACTCGGAGTTGGCTCTATGCTGCCTGTTCTATCTCCTATCTGGGTGCCATGGTCTCCAGCAACTCAGCACTACAGTTTGTCAACTACCCAACTCAGGTGAAACCTCAGGATGGGATGAGGGTTGGATCAGAAGTTATTTGAAAAGGACTAAGGATTTTTCCCCTCGGGTCTGTGACTTCAATAAAAAGAAAGTGTGTTTGAGGAAGTTAGAGGGCAAAGAGCCATAGACCTGACGGTTAG